GAGGGGTCCCAGACTGTGAGAGGGCACAGGCCGGGCTGGGGGACCCCCCCCCCGCCCCCCGAGTGCACAAATTTTTGTGCACCGGGCCTCTAGTACTATATAATTGTAATCACAGGGAAGAGATCATGTTAACATTTCCTTATTTTCTTTTTTAAAAAAATATATTTTTTTTGATTTCAGAGAGGAAGGGAGAGGGAGAGAGAGATGGAAACATCCATGATGAGAGGGAATCATCGATCGGCTGCTTCCTGCACACCCCACACTGGGGATTGAGCCTGCAACCGGGGCATGTGCCCTGACCAGGAATTGAACCATGACCTCCTGGTTCATGGGTTGACGCTCAACCACTGAGCATGCTGGCCAGGCCTTATTTCCTATTTTTTAAGGCCTTCCAATGTCTGCCAATGTTTTAGTGGAAATATTAACTAATATTACTGCATCTCTATAGTCATTAGACTATTTTTTGTTATGTAAATAAGATATTGAGGAATAGGTGGCATTCTTGCTTTTTAAAAAATTAGTTTGAGTAGGTTAAATGCTTTAAAAAGCTTTTATATATTTTCTTAAATTAAATATTTAAAAAATTATGTAATTTTTAGTTGGTCTGCACCTCCCTCCCCACTAAATTCTGGATAAATTAGTGTAATTTAATTGAACCTTATTGACATTATTGAAAAATTCTCAGTTTGGCTGATGGGAAATAGTAATTACACCTCAATGTAAATATATTAGAAGCTTCAGAATTCCAGAAAATATATTGTACATTTTAAGAATAAGTTGAAAAAATTCCTATGCCTGTGACTTGATCTTTCAATTTGTCATTCTTGATTCATACTCACAAATCTTTTCCTGGCTTGATTATTACACTAAAAACATTTTCTATCCAGCTTCCTACTAATACCTTATCTTTCAATATTTTTATTTAAGCTGGGAAGAAAGGAGAACTGCCTCTGGAAGAATCCAGTATCTAAACCACATAACAAGAACTACGCAATGGGAACGCCCAACACGGTAAGAACATACAAATATCTTCCCCTGGTCTATGTTGTTCACCCTCCTGAAGGCGTTCCTTTCTGTTTAGCTATCAGCTTTACCAGATTTCCTATCTTGGTTTATACTGCTCTAGATCAGTAGATCTTATAGCAAGTGCCATTATTATTTTTAAAAGTAATTTTCAATAAGGATTGTTTAGCAGGTTATCCTGTTATTGTAGCTGCAGGGCCTGCGATGATACTCAATAAATATTTATTAAATAAAGTAAATGAATAAATTGAGAAGTCATCTTATTTCTAGGACTCTTAAAATTTTTTGAGCCCATTATTGAATGGCTGTAACAAAGTATGTATACAGGATCTACATTTGCTCAGTCATGTAAGGGGATGAATATATTATAATGCGTCCAGTAAGGTCTGTAATCAGGATAAGAACCAGATGCTCTGAGATTATATGGAGGGGCACCTGACTTAGAATGGGGGACAAGGGAATGGTGGAACTTGCAGAGGAAAACTCTGAAGGAGCAGAATCTCTGAACTAAATCCTGAAAAATGTTAGGATTTAGCCAGGTAAGGGGAAGGTGATGAAAAGTGTTCGGGGTAGTAGTGCTCACAGCTATCGTTCAGTGCACCAAATGGTTATATGCCAGGCACTGTGCTCAGCGTTTGGGCTGTAACATTGAACACGTTGGAAAGACCTTCATGGAGCTTAATGTGTAAAGACAGGGATGCAAGATATTTTTTGGAAATAAGTAACTGAAAATGAATAGGATAAGTGGCTGAATATTTTTTCATTTTCTTAAAAGTAAGAACAAAGTTCAATAACAACAAAAGAAAGTAAGAACAAAGTTTATTTGCTACCTGTACTCAGTGTTTGTTTTGCCCCCACCCTTTTAATTTTTTTTCCCCCCGAGCAGGCCTGGCTGGCACCAGACACAGAACATCAAATGCTTCTCATTAGCTATACGTACTTTTATTTGCTAGGAATTGTTTAACTCATTGGATCACAGTTTTTCCTATTGTGATAGTTGGTTAAACACTTAGCTCATGTTGCTATTTTAAAAAATGCTCAATAGCACAAATGAGCAAATTAGCATTTTGGTTTTTGTGTCAGGTTATTGTCCTGGACTTTCAGAGTCTAGCAGAAATTTTTTTTTTTTGCTGCTAGAATTTACTTCCATGCCCAGCCTTCACTCTGTTTATCAGACTTGCCTTTCTGAAATAAAAGCCTACCTCAGTCTCTTAAAAAAAAATGCTTGAGAGTTGAATTAAATGACCAAGGTTTTTATTGAAGTCAGATAGCCGTTTTTATTATATCTGAGTGTAAACAAATGTGTACTTATGTCAGTGTTTTAGCGAAATCCGTTTCCTTCTACTTCATACAAACCGATAAAATTGACTTTAATTTCAACATGTATAAAGTTGATTGTGTTGTAAATGTTAGTTTAAAAATTAACTCTTGATTATCCTCTTATTTTGGATGACCTTCAATAGACTGGAAGCTCTTTGAAGAGACAGACTATTTTCTTTCCTTTATTCATTCAGTACTTATTGAGCTGCTCTTACATGTATGCCAAGCTCTATTCTAGGTGTGGGGGTATGTGCAGTGGGGAACAAGCTAGGCACTCTAGTCTCTCAGTAAGTATTCAAGTGCTGGAAGACAGACGAAACAAGGATGCAAATAAGAAAAATATCAGAAATAATTGCTATACTGATGAAGTAGGGTGATGTACTATCAAATGCTGGTGATTACTTCAGATTCTAATGTCAGGAAGGACCTCTTCAAGGCCACATTTAAGCTAAAGCTACGATTTGAATGACACGCGCGTGCACACACACACACACACACACACACACACACACACGAAAATAAAGGAGCCTGGCCTAGATGGAATAGGGAAAAAAAAAACACATTTTAGGTGGAAGGAGGAGCTTACTGTCCAGAACTAAAGGTAGCTGACCTGTGCAGGTTCAGGGAGCAGCAAGAATGTGAATGTAGCAGAAGCAGAGTGGGAGAATGGTGGGAAGTCAGGTCTGAGAGGTGGGCTGTAGCTAAGTCAAGTAGTGCTTGGTGAACTAATACTCATATCTACAGATATATGTGGATTTCATATAAAATGTAATTAAAATAAATATTAAATGATTTAAAGACATACTAGTAATTGACATTCTGCTGATGACTTGAGTTTCATTGGTGCTTAGAGGTTTCAGGTTTTTATTCAGAGTTTGTGAAATCATATTTGTATTAGTCATTCCATTTTCCTATAAGTGATGGTTACTGCAAGTGCATACATTGTTTAGAAAGCTCTACTTTTGATATTTGAATTGAATAACTTTTTTCCCTGTTACTTTTCAATAGACCGGCTTCTGAATATTCTAGTCCTGGCAGACCGCTTAGCTGCTTTGTTGATGAGAACACTCCAATTAGTGGAACAAATGGTGCAACATGTGGACAGTCTTCAGATCCCAGACTGGCAGAGAGGAGAGTCAGGTCACAGCGACATAGAAATTACATGAGCAGGACACATTTACATACGCCTCCAGACCTACCAGAAGGCTATGGTATGACCACTAGCAAAGGAAAAATAAAGTGTGGTTTACTAATTTCAGCTTGCTAAGAAATCCAGAAAGTCAACTTTTTAAATAAGTTATTAATCTGGGTTTAGGAATTCTGCATGAAAAATAAATGTAAAACCTCCCAACTTTGAAAAGTCTTTGAAGTGGTAGAAGACTGCCTAACCAACAGTTTGACCTTGGGCTAGTCATTTAACCTCAGCCTTTTTGCTCTTTTATGTTTTTTATTTTTATTTTTTTAAAATATATTTTTATTGGTTTCAGAGGAGAAGGGAAAGGGAGAGAGAGAAACATCAATAACGAGAATCATTGACCTGCTGACTCCTGCGTGCCCCCAACTGGGGATTGAGTCCACTACCTGGGCATGTGTCCTTGACAGGAATCAAACTCGGGACCCTTCAGTCCGCAGGCCGGCGCTCTATCCACTGAGCCAAACCAGCCAGGGCCTTTTTGCTCTTTTATAATGAAATAGATCACAAAAGTATCGTGAGCAATATATGAAATAATTTACTTCTTTGTAAATAGGCACTGTATAAAGGTAAGATGGTATTGTTATTGATAATGGAAATCTGCAGTCAGACCTAAAATGTAATTTTCTAGACATACATATTTAGAAATAATTTCAAAAGCATATTTCTAATGGTATTTATATATTTGTATTGCCTATAATTTTGAGTTACCTGAGTAATTGGGTTATTGTTATAAATGATTTAGTCATTTCTGTTTGTATAAAATTATAATCTTATATAATTTCCTGAATTGTAGAATTTCATGTGAGGATGACATGAATCTTCTGGTTGAATACGAAACTTTCTAAATCACAACTTGTGAACACTCTTGCAGATAGTATGAACTCAACTGTCCTCTCCTTTCTTGCTAAATGCTAATCAGTTACTTACATCCTTGTGCTCTCAACAGCCTGCCCATAAACTGTCCTGGACTGCTGGTGACGCCTAGTGGCCAATATTGGGAATCGCCTGATCCTACTTTTATTTTTAATGTAGGATATTTTTTAAACTTTTCTGCAGACACATGATTTTAACTTTATTTTTTAACGTATTTGAACTCTTTACTTAAATTTTAAAAACCCTGTTTTTCCACTGTGCTATGCTGCACAGGTGAACTTATAGCACAGCTTGGGCTTGGGAGACAGGCAGGCATGGTTTATATCCTGGCTTGGCCACATATTAGTTGTGTAATAGTGGGCACATTATTTAACCTCTATGAACCCCAATTTTATCTTCTATAAAAAGAGGAAAATAATAGTACCAACCATGTAGGCTTGTTACAAGAAATAAGTGGTAATTTCATTTGTAGTGCCTGACACAATGTCTGGCATAGAAAGCACTTAGTAAATTGTAGCTGCTATTATTAATGCTCAGACCTCAGAATAAAGTATTTCTTGCCATTTCTTTTTAATTGAGATTATAAGGCAAGCTGTTTGGAGTGGAGGTGGTTATACTTTTATAATATTTGTATGATATGGATTAAAATTTTAAAAAATCCAACCAAAACATAGGAGTAAAGTGGGTACCAAGGCTGAAATCTTTGGAGCTGTCTTATATAATCAATTTTAAATATTTTTATGTTTATAATTTTAAAACGTTTAAAGTTTAAATTCATTGACTTAATTATAAATTTATAAACAAATTTATACTAATAAATATTAGCAATAGTGTTGTCATTTAATATGTTGGAATTTTTCATTAGATTTTGTTTAAAAAAAATGGATAAGTAAAGACCAAAACCACCAGTGAAGGAACCTTTCATAGACCCCCTCTCTGCCCTGGCTTCCTCACTCCCCAATATGCACACTGCTGTTTAGTCCTCATCTTTGCCTATTTTTGACTATAGAGTGAGAGTCTCCCCTGTATTCCATCCTTTTTGCTTCTCTTTAAGTCAAAATGTAGTCGAGAATACACCTCTCTAAAGAAAAGAATTAGGCATAAGAAAAAAAAAACATTACTGCAAACCCTTTGAAAGTTTCTGAAAGTTTCTCAGAATCTTCCCAAATCTGGCTAGCCTCTTTCTCTGAGCCTTCTCTTGTTCCCTCACACTCCACATTCAAGACAAATAAAGGATCATTTCTTCACGTTTGTCTTGTTGAATTGTTGGTACTGTCACAATCCTGTTTTCTGTTTTGCATTGCACCATGGTTAGTATTTGAGCCATGTTATAAGTATAGTTGGCTTTAAATAGCTGGCCTGTGACCCCTCATCACTACTTACAAGATTGTTTTTAGGAGAAAATGTATTCTCCAGGAGTTCAGAACAAATGATTTGTGAAACAAAATTGTTGTAATGATACAGATTGGTCATTTGGATAACTTACTTATTAATATAATATTCTCATGTCTATAGCTGTCTTTGATTTGGACATTCTGAATATATCTTTATTATTAGTGTTTCTTAATTTTACAGAACAGAGGACAACACAACAAGGTCAGGTGTATTTCTTGCATACTCAAACTGGCGTGAGCACGTGGCATGATCCAAGAGTGCCTAGGTAAGAACACATTCTAAATGTTCCTCATACCATTGAATCTCCATTTTACTTAGGATTTCTTTGATTATTTAATCTTTAATGTCTTAAAATAGCTTATGTAAAAGATTGGCTCTTTCTAATACTCATTTTAGTTTGACGTTTGTAGAAAGTCTTACCTACCTCTCTGCGATCCTACCCCAGTGCCCTACCCCCTAACCAGTCCTTCCCCACTCTTCCCTTTTAAAAAGTCTGGGAAAAATGCCTGGCCAGTGTGGCTTAGTAGTTGAGCTTCTACCTGTGAACGAGATCAGTGTGCAATTCCTGGGCAGGGCACATGCCCCAGTTGCAGGCTAAATCCCTAGTAGGAGGCAGCCGATCAATGATTCTCTCTCATCATTGATGTTTCTCTCTCTCTCTTCCTTCCTCTCTGAAATCAATAAAAATACATTAAAACATTTTAAAAATAATAAAAAGTCTGGGCAAAAACATGAGTCTTTTAGGAGTTTGAAAACTAACCTGGGGAAAAAACATACAAAATCTTAAAAAACATACCCATTTTTTAAAGGGTAGTAAATTGATATTTTTATTTCTGGTTAGGCTTTTTTACAAAAGGTTTATTTATTTTAACCTTATATGAGTGTATCCAGTGTTCTTTTATGTGTTCCTTAATAAAGCTTCATTTTAATATAGAAAATAAATAACCTAATTAAATTAAATTTCTATTAAATGCCAAAGCTTATACTCAGAGCTCTATTTGTCAAGATTCATGTCAAAACCAGATGTGACTAGCTGATCTTGGATTGCTTTGATACCCTCTCTTTATTTATAACTAAAGCAAAGTAATAAAAATATTTTACTTTCTCATAGAACTTGATTAGAGTCTTTTGAGGTTGGCAACCAAAGAAATGTTCTATCACTAACTTTTGTATCAAGATTGCCATTTCTCTGTCTTGGTAATATAAGTTTTTAGTTTAAAAAAAGTAGTGAGGAGGAAATTTTTGTTTTATTAATAAGCTCATTGAAAAAAATCCATGGGCTTAACTTTTAGCAGCAAGACTTTTATTATGTAAATTATAAAAAGTGGTATGGATTCTGTTTATCCAATTGAAGGTCAGTGACAAGCTTTTCAATAAAATAATTTAAAATCGCCCTGACCGGTTTGGCTCAGTGGCTAGAGCATTGGCCTGCGGACTCAAGCGTCCCAGGTTCGATTCCGGTCAAGGGCATGTACCTTGGTTGCGGGCACATCCCCAGTGGGGGGTGTGCAGGAGGCAGCTGATCGATGTTTCTCTCTCATCCATGTTTCTAACTCTCTATTCCTCTCCCTTCCTCTCTGTAAATAATCAATAAAATATATTTTAAAAAAATAATTTAAAATCATTAGAAGGAAATGTATAGAAGAAAGTGATTTTTAAAAATTAAATGTTTTACAGTAGTGAGAAAGTAGGCCTTAAGTTATCTGTTGAAAGAACAGCATGTAAGCTGGCATCAGAAGATGAAATAGAGAGAGGTCTTGGCAGCACTGTTGGTAATATGTTCTTATTCCTAAGGAAATGTGTCAGTTTTTCATTAACATATACATGGTTTCAGTAAAGGTTTAAGAATATTTCATGTTGAGTACTGAATAATGGCTTTATGAAATTATGCTCTGCATTATTTTTCTTCTCCTTAATCTCTACGCTCCAAATTGTTAATCTTAACAATCATATCTTCATATCATCATATCTATATAAAAGGCTAATATGCTAACTGTTCATCCAGGTAATGACATCACATAGCAACACCCGGCTTCCTTTCCCTAGCAACTAGCCTCCTTGGAGTTTCTTCAGCCCAGGAACACGACTTGTTTTATAGCCAGGTGGAAACATTTTACACTTTAACCAAATGTCTGTGAAGCATTTCCCATGCCTCAGTTCATTTGATCCTCACAGAAGTCCTGGAGTAGGTAGATAGGAGACTTGGTGGAATCCTATTTTCTTTTCATTAGCCAGAAAACGGAGATTTAGAAAGCTTAGAAACTTGACCTGACTGAAAATAAGTAAGAAATGGTGGACCTTGAAAATGACTTCAGGTTTTCTCACTGTGCAGAATATAGTCAAACACTGCTTCAGTTAAATATTTTACCCTTTGTTCTCCCTGCATGATCTACAATAATAATCTGCTTCATGTTGATATTTACTGCTGTGTTGCTGACAATTACCTGAAAAAGAAGTTGGGGTGTTTCACTGGGCTGGAAAAGTTAGCTAAATCAGAAAGCAGGTCTAATTAAGCAAGTTTATTCTATATATATAAAAGGCTAAGTTAACTCGAACATGCATGATACTTATAAAGCTCTCACTGGCGCCAATCATATGTGTGTGTTTCCATCTGTCATTATTGGTTGACACTTCTATTATAGAGAAAGGGCGAATAGCGATATTAAAATATTTCTTCTAATTAATTTCCTTTCAATGTGCACGAATTTGTGCACCAGGCCACTAGTATCATCATATCTTTTGTTTTTGGAGGATCCTTTAGTAAACATGCTGTTTGCATGGAGGATCTTTTATCAAAGCAGATTATTTAAATATGTAGATTCTATTAAAATATTACTATTCAGCCCTAGCTGGTTTGGCTCCGTGGATAGAGTGTCGTCTTGTGGACTGAAAGGTCCTGGATTCGATTCCAGTCAAGGGCACATGCCTGGGTTGCAGGCTCAATCCCCAGTAGGGGGCGTGCAGGAGGCAGCTGATCAATGATTCTCTCATCATTGATGTTTCTATCTCTTTCCCCTCTCCTTTCCTCTCTGAAATCAATAAAAGTATATTTTTTAAAAATCACTATTCAAAGATATTTATACAATAGTGTAACTCAGATACTTCTTTTAAAGATATCCAGTAAACTTAGATTTATCTGAGAATTCCCATTTCATCAAGTTTTGCATATCTCTTTAAAACAGTGATTAATGCCATTGCATCCTGACTGTGTAGTCTTGAAAGACGGCTCTGTATTACTTTTTATGGCTGTGAAACATTTTTCTTCAATAATTTTCCAAGTGGAAATAAAGATTGTTCCCAGTTTTCTGCTCTTTTAATCAATTCTTTAGAGCTCTCCATGTATGACTGTAGATTTATAAAGTTCAAAATAAAAGTATAAATAAAATTCTGCATTATATCAAGATTATTCTTTGATTTCAATATTTGCTTTTCATTTCTAAAAGCTCCACTTAAAAATCCAGCTGTTCATTTTTAATAATCTCTCATTGATAGTTTGCCTTTGTAATTGTTCCCTTATTTTATTATTTTTTTCTCTTATTTTTTTAATGTCACATGTCATAGCTGTTCTCTGATCTCTGACAGTACTTGGGGATCTGATTCTGTGGTTTATTTTTTCCACTGACTCTCAGTCAGCATGACTTTCTTTTCTGAAGTGTTTGGTGATCTGTGTGAATTTATTTGATCTTAATTGGTTTGAGTTCTGTGGACCTAAGTTGGAATTTAGGAAGTTTTCCTGGGATTCCTTCGTTTTCTTTTTTAGTTTTCAGCTCAGGGAGGAAGTGTCAGATTTGCTTTTCCAACCTTGCTGCTGGCCTGAGGCTGTTTTCCAATTAACAGCTACCCACCAGCAGTCCTACCCCTCCTACCCCTGTGCCTTCCTGCCACTCAGGTACCAGCTCCATTTCAGTCCACTTTATTTTTTAATCCTCACCCAAAGATATTTTTTCCCATTGATTTTTAGAGAGAGTGGAAGAGATATGGGGAGAGAGAAAGAGAGAGAGAGAGAAATATCCATGTGAGAGAGAAACACAGATTGGTTGCCTCCTGCATGTGCCCTGACTAGGGCTGGGGATTGAGCCTGCAACCCCGGTACATGCCCTTCACTGGGAATCGAACTCTTGACCCTCTGGTGCTTGGGCTGATGCTCTAACCACTGAGCCGTGTCAGCTAGGGCAAGCTCAATCCACTTTTTCTTTTAAAAGTGAGAAGGATTTTTAGAACTTTCCCCCTTGTCTCTTTTGAGACTAGTAGTGTCTCAAATAGTGTGTTCTTGTCAAGCTATAGTTCTGTAGCAGGAGTCTCTTGAAGCACCCATAAGCATAAGTCAGAATTATGGTTTCAACAAATCTATAGGTGCTTATATGTGCCCATAGCTGTGTTTCATTATGACTAGGCAAAATTTTTTTCTAGTTCAACTTTTAAAACATGATTTTGAAGATATTTGTCATTATAATTATGTGTTATAGTTTAAGTTTACATTAGACATGCTGCTCTTATTTCATTCTTAAAGTCTTGTAAATCTTAAAGTCTTTGTATATAAAATTCTTAACGTCTTTGTATATAATAATATTTAAGAATGTGTGATACATAACAATGGTCTTTGGTCCATTAAAAGTCTTTCTGCTTTTTTTTTTTTATTGTAGAAGCAAGCCTTAGACTATTCTTCCTTATGTATCTTAAACAGGTTCTTCATTCACTAGCTTCCAAATTCAAAATGCAGACGTTATTCTTTAAAATATATACTGTGATTATTTTAAGGATCCGAATTTTAATATAATTTATAGTTTTGTTTTGTTGGAGAGCTTAAAATTAAAAATGGAATGAACATTGATTTACCCACATTTTACAGTGTAGTAATGAAAGAAAAATTGAAGGGAAATTTTAGAAAACATCTCATTCCTTATACCACTGACATTTGTAAAACAATATTTTGTCAGATAAGGATTGAAGTACAGTTTATGTTGGCAAGTATTGTGATTGCTTTTATATTAATTTAAAATCTGTGTCACATTAAAGCCCAGGAACAAACTTTTTAAAAATGTAGGCTATGTGATAAGTTTCTGGGCCATTTATGGATTGAGTTTTGAGTATGCAAGTTTGTTAAACCATTGGGAATTAAAGATTCCAGCTGAACATCTCAAGTTTCTGAAACAATACATTTTCTCAGACTTCATGAAATTGTTCTGTGTCATTTACACTTGCTTGGCTCAGCAGGCTCAGCAATGAGGTATTTTTTATTTTTTATTTGTTTTTGCAGGGATCTTAGCAACATCAATTGTGAAGAGCTTGGTCCATTGCCTCCTGGATGGGAGATCCGTAATACGGCAACAGGCAGAGTTTATTTTGTTGACCATAACAACAGAACAACACAGTTCACAGATCCTCGGCTCTCTGCTAACTTGCATTTAGTTTTAAAGTAAGTTTTTGAAACAATATGTGTGAAAATGCGAGTCTGAACAAGAGAAGACTGATGATGCTTTTTGTAATATGTGGGATAGACTGCTGTCTTCAATTATTACTTTCATTGAACAGAATGTTATATAAGAGTATGACAAGTTTTACTTTGATATATGAGTATTTTAATCCTGCTCTGCTAAAGCAGCAACGTGCACCGTGGCACACCTGAAGAGACAGGCTGCTTTATGGGGTAGATGGATAAAACTCCATACATTCATACGGATTCTCAGAAATAAACTCTGGAGCTAGTTTATCGTTGTCAAAAATGACAAGCCAAGAACACAGTAAGGTGTGGAAATGATATAGTAGATTTATTTTATGGTTGGTGGCTATTTTAAATGTGTAATTAAAATCTCTTTCATTTAATAGTATTTTTGTTTACTTCTAGTCGGCAGAATCAGTTGAAAGATCAACAGCAACAGCAGGTGGTATCCTTATGCCCTGACGACACTGAGTGTCTGACGGTCCCACGCTACAAGCGAGACCTGGTCCAGAAACTAAAAATTTTGCGGCAAGAACTTTCCCAACAACAGCCTCAGGCTGGCCATTGCCGCATTGAGGTTTCCAGGGAAGAGATTTTTGAGGTAAACTTTCAAGTCTTATTGAAAAATAACATTTTAGTGTTTTGCTCTGTTTTCCAATAAACTTTTTGAGACTCTTTAGAATGAGAGAGTTTTCATTAATTTCTTTTTCAATTGTGGGGATTAACGGCAATAACATGGGAGAGATTTAATGTAGAAGGTACACATTTAAATAGGATGAAGAGTGTTTGGTGTTCCAGTTGGTTCAGCTTGGCCTCTGCATTGCCAGTGTTTGTTAATAATGAGTTTTGAAAGACCATAAGTATCATCCACCTCTTACTTTTTAATGCTTCCAAAAGGTAAGGGGCTTTTAACTCAGAAAATCATTTTGTTTCATTACTATTGGACTATTTCCTTTGTTTATTGAAAATCCTCCGTCCTACTATACTCTTTACCTTTGGATTTTATACCCCTAACATCACCTTCAGAGTTCTTACAGAACTAGTGGCAGAGCTCCAAGGCAGGGGCTTCCCACTCTAGAGGATTCCTGGGCAAGGGGTTTGGGGACTTGAGAACCCTTTTCCCAAAAGATGAACTTTTTTTCTTTCAGAACAGTTCTGGCCTTGTCTGTAGTCCATCATTTGTATTTTAAAATAATAACATTGTTGATTTAATGGAGAGAACACTAATGATTACTGATATTCTTTTGGAATTTTCTTTTTCTTACCTTTACTTTCTATTGTTGCCTGTGACCTACCTAGATTTAGGTCAACCAACCTGAAAAATTTTGGTACTTCTATCAAATTCTGTTTTTAATATGAGTGAAATCATTGCTGTGGTTCATAGAACTTAACTACGGAGTTTTGCACTTAGTAGGTTTTAATATAATATTTATCACGTGAATTGGTTTCAGTAGCATTAAGCTATATTCATTTTGTTTTTAGAAGTTCCAAGAGTTTTCAAACACTTGGAGTTTAACCATTGATTTGATTGTTGAATTTCACCTTATTTATAAACGTGCGTTGTAGGTGGAATGGGAGGGAGAGTTTAAATAACAGGTTAAAAGCACCTAGTAATTATAGTATATTATTTATTTATTTATTTATTTATTTTTAGGAATCTTATCGACAGGTCATGAAAATGAGACAAAAGATCTTTTGGAAGCGATTGATGATAAAATTTCGTGGAGAAGAAGGTCTTGATTATGGAGGGGTTGCCAGGTAAAGACTCGCTCATCAGGAAATGCCATATGAATCCTTATATATACAAATTTAAGATACTCCCTGTGGTGTAACCTTCTCATTGATATTTATTTTCTAGTATAATATTCCCTAATGTTTACAATAGTAGGATATCCTAATCAATACATTCATAATGAGGTTAGGGTAGTACTTTCACCAGAAGAGAACACTAATGATTACTTACATTCTTTTGGACTTTCCGTTTGGGACCCCTTCAGGGATCATAGAGCCCAATGGAACACCCTCTGAAACTAGCTGCAGCCATACATGGACTGTTGGTGGACCATAGGCCCTGTATTTTCTTCATCTCCCCTTTAGTGTGTGTTATTCCCTCTGCTTTATATTGTCAGGGACAGTCTTCAGGCTTTAATGACATAATCTAAACGGAATACTGCTCCCTTTGCTTTCATTGCCATGCTTTTTAACCTTGTTAAAGGAGTTGTGTGTGTGTGTGTCCTCAGTGGTCCTAATGTTATATTCATACATAAAGTATTTTTTTAGATTATTTATTTATTTATTTATTTATTTATTTTTAGGAATCTTATCGACAGGTCATGAAAATGAGACCAAAAGATCTTTGGAAGCGATTGATGATAAAATTTCGTGGAGAAGAAGGTCTTGATTATGGAGGGGTTGCCAGGTAAAGACTCGCTCATCAGGAAATGCCATATGAATCCTTATATATACAAATTTAAGATACTCCCTGTGGTGTAACCTTCTCATTGATATTTATTTTCTAGTATAATATTCCCTAATGTTTACAATAGTAGGATATCCTAATCAATACATTCATAATGAGGTTAGGGTAGTACTTTCACCAGAAGAGAACACTAATGATTACTTACATTCTTTTGGACTTTCCGTTTGGGACCCCTTCAGGGATCATAGAGCCCAATGGAACACCCTCTGAAACTAGCTGCAGCCATACATGGACTGTTGGTGGACCATAGGCCCTGTATTTTCTTCATCTCCCCTTTAGTGTGTGTTATTCCCTCTGCTTTATATTGTCAGGGACAGTCTTCAGGCTTTAATGACATAATCTAAACGGAATACTGCTCCCTTTGCTTTCATTGCCATGCTTTTTAACCTTGTTAAAGGAGTTGTGTGTGTGTGTGTCCTCAGTGGTCCTAATGTTATATTCATACATAAAGTATTTTTTTAGGTGTGAAAATTCACTTTATATAAATGTAGCAGAAACATTATAGCTCTGTATTGAAACATTCTAAAGGACCATCATGATAATTCCAATTACCCGAATCTAAATCCAGGCTTAATTAAATTGTATTTTCACCAAGTCCCATAATTATTACTTAGCATTACTTGTTTTTACCTGTAGACTTATTTTCATTCTGCAACCTTTTTACTTGCAAATGGAAGTTCCTTTAATTTGGATTTTTAGAATTGATCCCTTGTACATCATACTTAGGACTTGATCGTTTCTGTGGAATTCTTATGATTTATTTATAACTTGGTTTTTAATGCTTATTGTGAAAACGTATTAATTACCTGCTGATGGGATCTAAATGCTATAATTATATGTATAAGCTAAATAAATCGTTTTTTGTTATTTATTTCTTTTTTTTTAAATATTTTATTGATTTTTTTTATAGAGAAGAAGGGAGAGGGACAGAGAGTTAGAAACATCAATGAGAGAGATTGATCAGCTGCCTCCTGCACGCCCCCTACTGGGGATGTGCCCGCAACCCAGGTACATGCCCTTGACCGGAATCGAACCTGGGACCCTTCAGTCCGCAGGCCGACGCTCTATCCACTGAGCCAAACCGGTTCGGCGTTATTTATTTCTTAACCTCACTACTCTCAGGGTTTGGGCAGACTAAAAGGGATGTGGAGTGAACTGCTTTTTCTGATCTAATTCCATGCTAGAAGCCAAAAGTAGGATTCTGCTTTCATGTGTGTTCTAAATACTTGGTGAAACAAAACAAAAATTAGGATTTTCTTTAAAAAAACACACACACAAGACATGTATAAGGCATGTCTGTGGGTGTTACGTGTTGTGAACGTTCTTATATGGAGACCTCTCTTTCGTTTTAATCTCGAGTTTTTCAAATATTACCTCAATGGTGGTGATGTGAGCTAGACTTCATCACATTGTAGAACTGAAAACATGTTTCTTTAACTTTTTATTAAAAGTATTTCACTGTATTTCCTTAAAGTGTACTATTCAATGTGTTTATTCCATAATAACAGAACATATCATTTAAATACCTTTCCTAGGTGAGGAAGGACAGGAATCGGGATGAGAACTACATCTGTGATAGCCTAGTGATTGTATTTCAGTTTCCTCAAAATGAGTGTTATCTTTCATCCTTTGAAAAATATGAAGGATTTAATAAATTTAAGGTGATAGTGCTATTTATTATGAGGTTTTAAAAATATTGATTTACACTTGAAACCAAGAAGTGGTAAGGAACACACCAAAAAATACAGGTTAGGACAAGCATGTATTTTTTGGTATGTTCTATACCACGTCTTGGTTTTAGGTGAACACTTACACTTTTATCACGCCACATTTCAAAGTTTACACAAAAAAGATGATGGAATGGATAATGGAATTTCCTTTTAAAACAATACCAACAGCAAGCACACCCTAGCCCAGTGGTTGGCAAACTCATTAGTCAACAGAGCCAAATACCAACAGTACAACGATCAAAATTTCTTTTGAGAGCCAAATTTTTTAAACTTAAACTATATAGGTTGGTACATTGTTATTAACTTAATTAGGGAACTCCTAAGCTGGCCTTTGCTAAAAACGTCCTCAATCTGATTGAGGTACGTTCGCTGAGGTCGACCCCTTCCAACTCTCCCATCTACACTCGTCTCGTATACTTGTTTCGTCTATCTCCTTTCGTTCATCCTCTGTATATGTCCAAACCATCTCAACATACCTTTCTCAATCCTCGACACTACATCTTCTTTCACTCCACAACGTTCCCTGTATGTGTGCGCCCGCACGTGGTATTTTGTGGAAGAGCCACACTCAAGGGGCCAAAGAGCCGCATGTGGCTCACGAGCTGCGGTTTGCCGACCACTGCCCTAGCCGAAAGCGAGAGTGGATTACTGCTGTGTCTATGCTACCAAGTACAAGTCTGCCGTGACAGCAGCGGACAGGAAATGTAGGTCACATGGATATTTTGAACCATACCCTTCCCTTTATTTTATATTTATGATGGATTACAAATTTATTTAGCAATTAAGAGGAGCAGACTGCTGGGAGGCATTATGTAATTAGTAGTTGGTACTTCTGGGTAATACCTTTATACACTCTGCCGCTATGTCATAAAGTTGCCTGCGTGAGTGAGAAGTGACTGCATAATAATAAAACAAGCGTTTCCATTTGCTTTTTGGGCATGGTAGATTTTTCCAGTGTGATCTATAACTAGTTAGTGCTTTATTTTCTTTTATTTAAAAAATTCTTTGCTAAAATGATCAATAGCATATTTTAATAAAAATAAATTCTTTAACAAAAAATTCCTTTGTCATGTCTTGTTTTCTAGGGAGTGGTTATATCTCTTGTCGCATGAAATGTTGAATCCATACTATGGCCTCTTCCAGTATTCAAGAGATGATATCTATACATTGCAGATCAATCCTGATTCTGCAGTTAACCCGGTATGGTTGCTGTTCTGGTGACGTGAATTAACAAGTGACCTACAATACTTGTCATCTTTAAATATCAATTAGTTTGGATTACTTTCCTTGTCCTAGTCACAGCCTTGTACTTAGCAGTTCCTCTTTAGAAAATTTTCTCAAGTAAATGCTTATGGATATGTTCAGCAATTTGTGCCTAGGGATATTGACTGCATCTTTGTTTGTAGTAGCCCCAATTCGAAAGAGGATCACTGTCCATCAGCAGAGGGTTGATTACATTGTGAGATGAAGCAGAATGACATTAGCAGTGACAAAACAGATTCTGGAGTTAGACATGAGATCATAACCAGGTCCCATTACTTAAGCTTTGTGACCTTGGGCAAATTCATTGACTTGAGCTTCAATTTTATTATTGCTAAAAATAATAAATAGAGTTTGTACCTCAGAGAAGGCTTGTGAGAATTTAATGAGATCTTGCACATTAACTATTTAGCATAGTGCTCTACATTATTAACCATATAAATATTATTCAGCACTCAATAAAAGTTAGTAGCTGTTACTAATTTGTTTCTACATTATTTCCATTAACTATCCATACAAGGGCATATTATATAGCCTCTAAAATGACATTGTGGGATAAAAGTTAATGACATGTTAAGATGGTATTTGTGATGTATTAAGTGAAAAGAGGGTTGGAAAATATAGTATGATACAATTTTGGTAAATAGGTATATGTTTCAACATCGAAAGGCTCTACCCTATAATATGACATTAGTTACTTCTGGGTATTAGACTATGGATAGTGAACATATATTACTTTTTACAAGGAAACAAATGCTGTTTTTAAGATAAGAGGGGGGTTTAAAGATCGCTTACTAAATAGAGAAGTAAAAGAAGTTTAAAATACTAATTAACAAAACAATTTATCAGGAAAGACCAGATATACCCAAACATGGTAGGAATGTTAGATTCATTGCAGGCAGTCCTTCACAAAGGGAAGATTTCAGGCGAAGGTTCTGCTTGGGGTCCCATTACTGCCATTGTAGTTGTAGTAATAACAGTTCATGTTTGTTGAGCTTTTACCCTCTGCCAGCTCCAGTGCCATGGGCTCCATCATCTCATTTTACTCCTCACAGAGATCCTTTTTAGATACTATTATTACCCTTATTTTTTCAGATGTGGAAAATTAATCCTATAGGAATTAAGTAATTTGCCCAAGTATGCATAGCTAGTAACTGGCAGAATCGGGACTCAAGTCCAAGTTAGACATGAAATCTGTGCCCTAAATCTGTGAGGTTTTGAATTTCAGTTCTGGTTAGGTCAGGGAAATAGGGAGGTTTAGGGTTGAAAGCTTTTTTTTTTTTTTCCCCTCTGTGACAGCCAAGATTGTAAAGGGCTTAGCAGGATGTGAGAGGAAGAGAACAGGATCTACGGGTGGTTTAATGAAGCTGCAGTGAGACTCTTGTCTGGACTTAATTTCTAAAGATGAATTTTACAAAGTGATTGTATCCTTTGAGAGAGGCATTGACTCTGGTGTAACATTTTATAACAATGTAGGGAATCTTGAGCATGCCCAATAGAAACTCTCCCTAATGATTACTGAGTTTTGGTATGATAGCCTATTCCATTGAAATAGTTATAAATTAGAGTATAAGTTGATATAAAAAGATTAATGTTGCTTAAATTTTAATTTTTTATTAAAAATTCCCTGAATGGTGTCTAACTTCAGTATTTATATAAACTCTTTTCAATTTCAGGAACACTTATCATATTTCCACTTTGTTGGACGAATAATGGGAATGGCTGTGTTTCATGGACATTATATTGATGGTGGCTTCACATTGCCGTTTTATAAACAGCTGCTTGGGAAGTCAATTACTTTGGATGACATGGAGTTAGTTGATCCAGATCTTCATAACAGTTTAGTGTGGATACTGTATGTATTGAGTCTTGTTCATTATAGTTAGAATCTGAGCTTTTAAAAAAGATCCTGTCTCAATGGATGTACTTCTTTAAAATTTAAAAAACACAGAAAATACGAAGAGTGACTATTTGAATGATAGAACCACATTAGATTTTTCCTTTTTCTACTGCTTCCCTGTATATTTCAAATTCCTAAAAGTTAGTGAACGTTATTACTTTAAAAAGGAAAAAAAATATCTAGTATGTCCTATTTTTAGAAGTACTACCATATGTAAGTGATTTTCCCAAAGCGATGCAAGTTTGTTTCCCGTCCTGCATGTGTTAGAATAGCAGATTCCTGCAGAAGTGATGATTGTTGAAGCTGTACTTTAAGAAGGGGCGTCTGTAAGAACCAGTTCTGTGTTGTGGGAGGGCATTAGCTTATGAAGGTATATTGGCTATACTTATTTGCCAAACCAATGAGACTCAAGTAGGGCCTCTTACCTGCAGGCCAAACACAACTGAAGTTTCCCCGTAAAGCCGGGCCATGGCCAGCGCCCTTTCTTGTGGCTCAGGAAGTGAAATGCTCCTGGTGTTGATGAGGGTTAAAGCTCTGACTTTTCTGCCCCAGAACCAGGTTTAGAGTATAGGAATATTCAGAGGAATCTGATCTTATATTTGTCATGCCATAAACTGTTCTAGTTTTATTTGTCTCACAGTTAATACATCTGTGTTTTAGATTTCCCAGTTAAGTATCTTTCCTTCTCTTTCCTTTCTAGTGAGAATGATATTACAGGTGTTTTGGACCATACCTTCTGTGTCGAACATAATGCATATGGGGAAATTATTCAGCATGAACTTAAGCCAAATGGCAAGAGTATCCCCGTTACCGAAGAAAATAAAAAGGAATATGTCAGGTAACACTTCTGTGTTCCCAAGACTGAGAATTGTTTGAATGTTCTAGAATACCAGAACAGAAAAACATTTTAGTATTTAGGTCATGTTACTTATTGCTACAAAACAGGTTTCTGCAGAAATTTGTGGCTTAAAAACAACTATTTTATTCTTGCTCAGTCCTGAGGGTTAGGAGTTAGGATAAACAACAGGATAGCACACAGCTCCTCCGTGTGTTATTGGTGGGGACAGAAACGTCAAGATGACCTCCTCACTCACATGTCTGATGACTCAGCAGGGGGCTCTGAGGGCTGGGGCTGGCTGGACCAGCCACTGGGGCCTCATTCTCACTGTTGGCTGGGTTCCATGGTTACACCCACGTGGAATCAGAGGTCTCTCACTTTCCCCATGGCCTCTCTCTCTCCAGCAAGGTAGAGGGGTGGTTGGCTGGTTTCCCAGAGCACAAGAGAAGTTGTCGGAGCTTTTTAAGGCCTAAGCCTAGAACTGGCCAGCGTCACCTCTGTTCTGTATATTTTGGTTAGAGCCAGTCACATGCCAACCCAGGTTCAGTGTGGAGGAGACTGTAGAGGCACAGATACCAGGAAACATGGTGCACAGGCGTGTGCGGCGAGCTACCAGGGCTGGCTATGCAGAAGCACTTCTGTGCTGTATTCTAGCACCTGCCCTGTTGCAAATAAGCATGTTGTGAGGTTAAGGGTAGATACAAGAAAATGTTCTCCAAGTTTTACAAAATCACCTGTTGATGGAGGAATTTAAAAGTAGTGGGTTAGATCATTTGACTATGGCAACTAAAGTTCTCCTGAACATAAAACTCTGGTAATCAAATGAGGAGTGTAAACAAAAACATGCATTATACTACTTTATATAGATTATGTCCCTAAGTCTTAACTGGCTAAAATGTTCCCACTTTATACACAAGGCCCATCAGTCTCACAGACAGTTGATGGGCGTGAGCATTGAGTTAGCTTTTTTTAGAAAGCAGTTTGATAATAGCTTCCAAGATAAAAATGTGTATGCTTTTTAACTAGAAGCTCCAGCTTTAGGAATCTATGCTGTGGAAACACATGTAATTAAATAATTACGAGAAAGGATGTTCAACTAAATATTACTTGTAAAAAATTTAAAAGTGCTAAATGTTTTTAGAGGAGAATGATTAAATACATATATTTGGCAGAAATAGTATGTGGATTTTTAAAAGGAAGAGGAAGAGAGACTCTGTATAAGCTGTCAGATTTAAAAAGCAAGTCTTAGAAAAATTATGTAGGGACATTCTGTGTTTTATAATTATATGGAAGATGTTCAGAAAGGCTGTTCACCAAATAAAGTGTTTGGGATGAGGGAGCGAAGGTGCCGGGCCTGGGAGTAGAGAGGGAAAAGAGGATAAAATAATGGACTTTCAGCTTTTACTCTGTCTCCACAGTTAGGTTTCTTTTTTCTTTATCTAACAAGCATTTATTATATTTCTAATTAAAAAATGAAAGAATGGATGGGCATTTCCTGAATTTGCTGTGCGTCACTTCCAGGACCTGGTGTGGACTGCTCAGCCCCTGGCTCCCACTCTCCAGGAGTCAGTCGTGTTTATAGCGCTTAGTAATATCCCTCATCCAGTAGAGTTTTGAGACAAAGAAAACCTTTTTGCAGATGAGCAGTTTTGGTGTCCCCTTAACCAAACACACAAAAACAAGGTCCCCCAAAGGATATAATGTTAAGTAACTTATTTCTTAAAGTAGAGAACTATTTTTCCAAATTTGGGAAAGGATATGTTGACAAACTTGGAAGATGAATAGTTCTGAGATGTGTGAGATGGAGAGGTTTTCCTGGGTAGATTTTTTAAAAAGCAATTCACTTATAAAATTACAAGTCAGAAGCATAAGAAAAGCTACGCATTGGATGTAGTGTTCTTTTTGTTGGTAAATTACATCTTCTGGGGTTTTAAAGCCTCCAGGGAACAATGAATATTTAACTAAAAAGTGCTTACTATTGGCTTTTACTATTTCTCCTCATTCTCTTTACCTCTTCCCTCATCTACTGCTCCCAAAATATAAACAAAACACCTAACATATTCAGACCATATTTTCAAGTGAAACCAGAAAAATAGTGATTTTTGTTGAATGGGCTCTTGTCTGTGGCTTTTGGCTAGAAGTTCTGAAGGAAGTTTCATCCAGATTGTGACTTCAGACCCATCCAAGCTCCAGCCAACTTCCAGTTTACTCGGAATTTCTCTGATGGGAAGAGTTGCTTTGTTGATGGAGCTTTTGTTAGTGGAAGGTTGCCACCTAGTAATGTTGCTAAAGTAGAGATACATCATAATGACCAAATCTGAACATATTGGATCATAGGAAACCCCCGCCCCATGTTTCTAGGCTCTATGTGAACTGGAGGTTTTTACGAGGCATCGAGGCTCAGTTCCTGGCTCTGCAGAAAGGATTTAATGAAGTCATTCCACAGCATCTGCTGAAGACATTTGATGAGAAGGAGTTAGAGGTCAGTATATTAATGTCATGACATCATCTAGTGTAGCAAGTAAAGGTTAGGAATTTTCTCTTAGTTTTAGAGGAAAGTTGTATTTCTGGCACTTGTGAAGTTTCATGGTGCAGTACTGTGAGCATTCTTATTCATAGGAAGTCAGTCTTGCTGTGGAATTTCTACAAATGAGCAATCTCCCTTATATTGTGAACATTTTATTTTTTCATATTATTCGTTCTTGTTTTCAACAGATTTCATGTCTTATGTGTAACTTCTTCCAATGTTGTTTTCTATTGAAATTTATTTGGAATGAAATCCTAAGCTCAGTCGATTTACACGAAGCTTTGCAAGAAGGCATTTGGTAAACAAGATCATAGAGGAAATAATTAAAACACTTAGGATAAACTGTGTCTAAACATCCTCAGTCTCTTTGGAAACATTCATTATTAACAGTAGCAGTAATAAAGTTAACTTTTTTTTTTTTTTTTTGGTTTTTTTTTTTTTTAAAGCTGGTTCTTAAAG